CGTGACATCATCAATGACCCCTCACCCCCCACCATGAAGAGGCTTCCCAGCATTCAATGCAGGACCAGCAGGTTCTGCAGCAGCTTCTTCCCCACCGCCATCACACTGATGAACTGATGGATAAAATGGATTATTGTATTTATAAAAGATTTTATTTTAGAACTGTAAATAAACAGTCATATGTTTATATTACTTTTTTATGTATTTATTACTGTTTTTCAAGGCTGCACTTAAAAAAAATGAAATTATCTAGAACTGTTTTAAACTACATTTCTTTTTGTTTAAACTCATTTTTACAAAATGAGAAAATAAATCTGTCTAAGTCTAACTTTGCCAATGGAACAAGAAAATTTAAATAAGAAAGTTTTATTTCAAGTGCATATCATCTAATTATCTTATTCTAAGAATAAAAAATCTCATTCCATTGGCAAATCATCTTATGCACATAATCAAATTAAGGGTAAAAAAAACTTTATTTATTTCTAGATGGTTTCTGCAGTGAACTGGCTTCACTAAAGGCACCGAGGATGATGACCTCCATAGTTCCAGTCTGAGGAACAGTGGGAGTGTTATCATGGTCGCTATAGTAACGGAAAGCATCTGATTTAAAAACAGCATCTCTATGCAGACGGTTAGATGAAGTTTTTTCATCTAATTCCTCCAGAATGACAGTGGAGGACCTGAGGACCTCACAGCTCTAGTCAGAGCTCCACATCCACCCGTCTGCTTCTTTCATTCAATTCTATTCAGTTTATTTCATCNAGAAGACATTTTCTGACTTTTCCTTCCTGTAATGATGGCAGGGCGCTGGGACACAGATTAAAAGTGGTACGAACCGCTGTGTTCAGACCTTAATGTGTAAAGATGTGCAAAGCTCTATTAGCTGCAAAGCTGCTCTCTGCTCAGTGATTTATTTGGACAATATGGATGCTGCGCGTTCATTTTCCTGTGGGTTTGTTTAGGATTGACCATAAGACGCTTTTGGGCCTGTCAGTTCTCAGCCAGCCCTCAGTGCAGATCAGACCCTGCCAGCCCCATGAACCCACCGTATCCCCAGTATCTAATAGGCCAAACTGATGAGGATTCAGAGCTCACTTCCTTCTGAAGTGTGCACCCCCACCCCCCCAGAGGAAATCATTTTGTGCAACACACACCAGAAATGTCCCAATCACAGTGGGACAGCGTTCAGCAGCAACCAGGAAAGTGTGAGTCATGGCGTTCTGCTCTCAGAGTCTCTGATCCCCGCATGAAGTGATGAATGTTTTACAGCGCTCAACCTGATGAGGGTGCAGAGCTCTAGGATGTCACTGAGACAAATGAACCGCTAACCTGAGCAGAGAGACACGCTGGCAGCACAGCAGGGTTCAGGGGGGGGAGAATGTGATGCCATTAAAACCTGTTAGCGTCGCCCCCACCTTTAGATTTAAAACAGTCCAACTATGGGACTTAGTTTACCGGAGCGGTTGGTCTGAGACTGGAAGAAAACTTTGATATGATCTGTTCATGCAAACCCGTCTGATGCGAAACATGAAAGATGACGAGGACTTTAAAAACTGCAAAGTCATGGAGGAAATGAAAGACGCAGTAACTGCTCTGCAAATAAAGACTAAGCTTTGAAAAACCAGAGAGAAAGAAAAACAACAGAAACACTGCAAGACATGGTTTATCTAAATAAGTTTTATCTTGAACTGAGGAGGAAAGTGAGACACTTTCTGTTTGAGGAAAACTGAGGAGAGTCACTCCAAGGACGGCCCCCACAGCATACCTGGGCAGGTGGATAAGGAGTGGTCAGATCAGCTGGCTGGTGTCCTCACAGACATCTTTAACACCTGG